GCCTATCAAACACGGCCTAATAGTTCTTCGCCTCCATTGCAAGAATTTACATGCAGTTCTTGTGTGGTAATTGGGGTTTCAATGTGTGTGAGAAATACTATATGGTTGGAAAATCTCTTTTAACAGCCTGTGATTTTTATCATATTTTCAATTTTTTTTCATTTTTAAGTTCTTGTGTAGTTATTCTTTGATAATTTATTTTCCCGTCTTCTTGATATTTCTCGAAGGAGTGCTTCGGGGGTAAATCTGAAACTTGAGAGGATTTTCCTAACATAGGGAAGGGTTTGGAATGGGACTTGGGTGGGGTGGGCGTGGGGGGTTATGTTGTACTTGTATTAAGTTTAAATTCTCTTTTCGTATGAAAAATAAAATAAAATTAAAAATTGTAATATGATATGGGTAATTTAGTAGAAGTTAAGTGTCGAATGAGTTTTTTTACATTAGTTACAATATTTTGTTGAAGAAAAAGCATAAATAAATAACTTTTTTATAACAACATTTTAGTTTTTTCAAGAAGACTGTCCTTAAGAAACTATACCGAAATTGGAATTGGCCAAGTTGTGTTAAACAAAAGACATTAAGTCGAAAAAAAATAAAAATACAGTTACATAAGTTTTATATAAAAAGAAGGTATATCAAAATAGTTTGGAGTGAATTGTTTCAAAAATCACTGAACTTATACATTCGTCACGGGCTGCTCACCGAACTTCATTCTGCATCGCACTACTCACTCAACTTTACCATTTACCTCTCCATCCATCACTGTCAAAAAATCTGTTTGTTGGTCGTTAACGTGGCGAACGGAATTCCTAAGTGGAGGATGGTTTTATTACGTGGCAACTAACGGATTGCTGTGTGAATGCCAAATCAGCCAAGTTATCCAATTCACCTAAAACTAATATTAAAACTTCAAAAAAAAATCAACTTATTTGAAATGCAAACAGCCAAACACTCCCCTTCTTCTCCGACAGCCACCCCTTCTTCTCCGGCAGCTTCTTGCTACAGTGTCACCGGACAAAACCAGAAATTCATTTACAGAGCAAATCCAAAAAAACCAAAACAGTAACGTCTGTTCTCTTTGTCGTTTTCAAGCCATTTTCTGTTTTTAATTTTTTAAAACAACGAAAACACGTTCTCTTTCCTATTTTTCAAAACGTGTTTTGGAAAATGAAAAAAAAAATTTACACTGGAAACTAAAAACGTGCAAAACCACATTTTGGGAATTTTCAGCCAAAACACAGTTTTTTTAGAAAACACGGGAAACGACTACTCTGCCTTATCCTCCCTCCCTCTCTCTCCCTCTTCCGCTGGGCTCACGCTGATTTTCCATTTCCGATCTCACAAACCCACAATCCAAATCTTCCACAGATTTTCCATTTCTGATCTCAGGTACCCATTCTATATCTTGTTGACTTCAATCAGTCAATCCTTTCTTCTTCTTCTTCTTCATAACTTCTCTGCCATACTTTCGTTTTCTTCGATTTCATAGAAGTGAAGAAGCCAAAGTTTGATCAATTTTACAACCAAAACGACAATTTCAGCTGCCCATGTGGAAAAAAGTGGTATCTTTTAGTATTTTTGACCTTATTGGCATTTTTTTCTTCGAATTTTTGCTGGGTTCGTTTGATCTGTTTCGATAACACTATTTTTTCTTCGAATTTTTGCTGGGTGTAAGTTTGTGCGAGGTTTATCACTTTCCCTTTTTGTATAAATTTAAATATTGACTATTTGCTTGAATGTTAAATTATGACTGGATTCTTCTTTGTGGTGGCTGTATAT